ATATGTTGTTGTACTTCGTATTGGTTTAATATTCATGTAGAGTATGAGACATTCAGTGAAAGTTTGCTGAGGTACATCTGCAATTGTCGGAAGGCAAAAAAAAAAAAATGAAAACAAGGTTACCATATATGACACAAGATAACACACCCNTGTTGTTGTACTTCGTATTGGTTTAATATTCATGTAGAGTATGAGACATTCAGTGAAAGTTTGCTGAGGTACATCTGCAATTGTCGGAAGGCAAAAAAAAAAAAATGAAAACAAGGTTACCATATATGACACAAGATAACACACCCCCTGGACCGATTCTCAAAGCTCGATTACTCCACGACGAAGGGGATGCATGAACGAAACGATACATTGTCGAAAAGCTCTCGACGAGACGGTTTCAACGCCGCCGTTTTCGGCGCTATGACTGTTACTGCATATGAGAAATCGATCTTCGAAAAATGGCCAAGGGGGTGTGTTATCTTGTGTCATATACGGTAAGTCGTTCCAAGTGCACAGCAGCATTTGACCTGCGAGGGTGGGGAACCATACGGCCGACATCAACGCTTCATACTTCAAACAAAATTAACAGAGCAGCAGCAGCAGCACACACGTGTTGTTGTATGTGGTACACACGGACGGTACCTATGTGGCACAAGATACCACACCCTATCTATGTCGCACAAGACACTGACCCCCCTGACCGATCATCAGGGGAGATTACAACGCAATCGATGCAATCGACATCAATCGACATGACACAATCAATCAAGAGTCATCAAAATGGCTGAGCGACAGAATCTTCTGGTGGCAACCCTCTTCGTCGTGGAGTAGTTGAGCTTCGAATTGGGCTCGGTGTGGTACCTTCCAAGCTAACGCTGGTGTATGTATAGCGAGGACGGAAGGAAACGAAGGGGTCGCCAACAATCGGCGCTGAACACACAGACAGACTGCACACTGCTGCAGACAGAATACCCTGCTACTGCTGTTGTTGAGAGCTGTGCTGTTGAGGGCTGTGCTGTTGAGAGCTGTGCTCTTTGAAGTACATCATGTAGTGGCCATATCACCAACACCGGTCGCCCGTGGACACCACACACCACACGTTTGCATCAGTAAGGTCTCAGCCACACATTTTGCTGCATGCGCAGACCACGAGTCGAGAGAAAACATCTCTCACCTGGGCTTCCGCGACCGAACCAGGGCACTGCTGTTGAAGAAGGTTACATAAAGAACCCAGCAGCTGGTACCCAGCCGCCGTCGTCGCTTTGTCGCCGTCCCTTGCTGTCATCTTCATCCGGTTTGCCGTCCGGTGGGCGACATCGATCCCTGTGTTCCGCTCCAGCTTACGCTTGAGCTCCTTGCCATTCATTCATGGACGAATGGTCCTTCACGACTGTGGAGGCCAGGTGTTGGAGAGCAACGGTCCTCCCCTTCGTAATGCCGCCGGAGCAGTCGGTGTGTGCGGCGTCAATCGTGTGCACCTTCCACACTCCGTCGGCACCCTTGTAGGCGCGGACTTGTGCTTTGCAGCCTCCGGTATGGCCCGAGCACCGGTAAGTCTTCTGCCTGCCCCCGCTGTTCTTGCCCGCAACGAACGAACGGCCGTCTGCCGCGAACATTTGACCCACCGCTGTCCTAAGATGGCTGGTGGTGAAGTAGCACGCGCCTTGCGCGAGGACCGCGGTGTTCACTACTTCATCGCTCATGTTCTGCCGATGCCAGTCTACCGTTCAGGCACGAGTGCCGAGATTAACCACGAGAGACTTGGTGGGTTGAGGAGCGAGATCTACTTGCAGGAGCGAGATCTACCAGAACCGAGAGAGTTCCGCCGTCGGCGGTGGTTTGCAGGAGAAGGCTTGCAGGAGAGACATCCACTTCAAACGAGAGTTCCGCCGCGTTAGTCGTGTTAGGTCCGCCTCCGCCCGCCGTCGGAAGTGTCGGAACTCGAGTGCGGGGTGTTTGTGACGTGTGTTCGTGAGCGTGGTCTGCTGTTGGTCTGTTGGTCGAATAGCCCAGCCATTTTCGGGTAGGCGAGAGTAAGATCGAGTATTCCTCCGGGGGGTGAGTAGCCAAAATCGGGTGCACCCGGTGGGAATAGGGCCAGGGCCGGGTAGGGGCGGTCGTCGGCCAATCAGATGGCGCCAGGAGGGTGCTGCCGACTGTGAAAAACAAGTGTACTCGATAATGGCCGGATTGGGGCCGGGTGTACCCGATTTTGGCCACTCCTCTTAAATATACTCGAAGCAGTATCTGGTCGTGGAGATCCCAAGGGGATACGTGTTGGGAATTTCGTGTGTTGTAGGGTACCATCGGTGCAGTCACGGGGACCCTATTGGCGCGGTCGGAACGATGAGGCTTGCGTGCGTGCTGCGCACTTCTTTCTTCCTTCTCTCCTTCCACCGCTACCGCCGTTTCTCTCCAATCAAGTTTCCTTCTCCCACTCTCTCTCCGCCTCTCTCTCAATCTCTCACGCTCGGCCTAACACGGCCGCCTACCCAGTGCCCCAAGCAACGCCCGGGACGGGCTTGCTGCACCCCGCGTAGTTAAATCTATCACACTAGCTAGCGACTTAGACCGCTCGGCCACTTGAACACTTGGACGACCGCGTCAAAAGGGTCCCCATGATTGCACCGATTGTACCCTACAACACACGAAATTCCCAACGCGTATCCCCTTGGGATCCTCACGACCAGATGCTGCTGCCTGAAAAGAACTAAGGGTGCTTGTGAAAGTGACAGAGTTCTATCAGGAGAAGAAACAGTCAGAAAAGTCGAGGTTGGAACAGGACTGGAAGGAGTTGATGATGAAAGCGTCTGAGAGTCCACAGGACTATTTTTCCCGGGCAGAAGCTCTTCGCTTGCGTCTAGCGTCTGTAGGCATGGTTAAGGATAGAACAGATGCCAACAAAGACATTGCTCGTGGCCTTCCCTCTTCGTATGTCGTGCAACAAGGAATACTGCTGGCCCACGATGTCCTGACGTTACGTACCCTCGAGACTGTGGTGAGGGACGCCGACGGGGAGATGGAGCGCGAGAGGAGCAAGGGGGAGAGGCGCGTGGTGGAGCTCGCTCTCGCCGCGTCCGGCATGGGCCGGCGCGGTGGAGGCAGTGGGGGGGATCCGGTCACGCAGCAGCTGGCGGCCAAGATAGAGACGGAGAGAAGAAAAACGGTGAATCACCGTTTTTCTTATGATGTGTTCAACGACGACCCCTACGGATTTTGCCGCTACCATCAGTCCGAGCTTCACACCAACGAGCAGGGCCGTTTGCAGTGGCAACTGCAGCGCGCGCGTTCGAGAGAGGGCGCCGAGGAACGCCGCTCGGGGGGCGGCAGCCGTGGTGGCGGCGGTAGCCAGCGAGGGGGTTCATCGTTAATTCGAGAGACTGAGACTGAAGTGATGTGATCGTAGATGGATCGGCAGATGTCGAGAGGACCCTCTCGGCAGCCAGCTGGCTCTCTGTGCCGCTTCTGCTCGCACGCAGCTACGCTTTGCCCGCGCCTTTGTTTCCCACAGGGCGGGCGGTAAGACACAGAATCCGGGGTGTAGAGACGAGATGTACGGTCGTTTCTCTTTATCCAGTGACGCCAAATGTTAAACCATTAGATCAGTCAGCGCTGATTGAGTAGTCTAATGGGGTAAGCCTTCCCAACAAACGCTCCGGCTGATAGCGTCCCGCCCACTGGTCCCACCAGTGTAGTACCTGCGAATGAGAGCGTCCCGCCCGCCGGCTCTGCCGATGTAGTACCTTCCTCGGCGTCCGAGTTTGTGTGTGTGGGTACTTTTCCGGGTATGGACCTTGGAGATACGAGTGTGCTCACCGACGAGAGGCTCATGGATGGCTATGATGACACCCCGTATCAAGATTTTTTCCCCGTGGTTATCCCAGAGAGTGACGCTGCGGATGTGGCTGGTGTTTTGGATAGCATTGATGGGGGTGCTGATTTTGACTTGGGTGCGGCCGCGCTTGGCCCTGGTGCGTCCCCGTTTGCTCTTGGTTCGACTGAAAAGTCCGTTGACATCAACCGCTTCCCCGCTCCCTTGCCCACGCTTGCAAGCCTCTATTGAGAGAAACTGCCCAGCAGAGAGGCACCGTGCTCACGGGCAAGCTGGAACCGTGCACGGACTGCATGAAGGCGAAGGGCAGGCGAGGGTCGGTGCCGCGGGGGGCGGGAGCGCGGGCGTCCAAGCCCCTCGGGCGTGTTCACCTGGACCTGTGTGGACCGCTCCCTGCGTGGCAACCTCTACCTGTTCGTCGCCGTGGACAGCGCCTCGCGGTAGAACAAGGTCTACGGTCTCTGGCGGAAGTCCGACGCGCTGGCGGCAACGAAAAGGCTGCTGGCGGACGTGGGGCGGTAGGACCTCGGGCGCATCGAGTGTTTCCGCGTCGACAACGGCACCGAGTGGACCCACGGCGACTTCCGGCGCTTCTGCGACGACAACGGCCTCGGCGTCGAGTTCACACCTCCCGGCGTTCCGCAGTACAACGGCGTCGTCGAGAGCGCCATCTGGCGCATCATGAAGGCCGGTATGGCCACTCGCCGCAGCGCTGGCCGTGTGTTCAACGTCGACTTCGCCTCCATCCCCGGCCTCGACGAGCGCGGTGACCGTCTTTGGATGGAATCGGTGAAATGGGCCGCCGACGCTCTCAACCAGTCGGCGACCAAGGCCAACCCCGGGCGGCGCTCGCCGCACGAGATGTTCACCGGCGAGCAGGGGCCTTTCCGCGTGCTGCCGTTCTTCCAGCCCGGCTTCATGCGTGAGGATCGCCGCACCAAGCTCGACGACCAGGCCACCCTCTGCTACTACCTGAACGGCGGCGACAACCACCCGAGCGGCACCGTCAAGGTCCTCAAGGCGTCCACCGGCCGCGTCGTCTACACCAACAACGTGTCGTGGGTGACGTCGGCGCCAGCCGGCGAGGGGGGTTCCGCTGGTATCACCGCTGCACCGACATTCCCCCCGTTCACGCCGCCGGTCGTCTCGATCAGGCCCAGCACCGACGCCTTCGACCGCCGCACCGCCGCCGCCAGCGCCCACGCCGTCGCCCGCTCCCGCTCCCGCTGCCGCTTCGCCCGCTGCCGCAACGCCGCCGCCAGCGACCACGCCGCTGCCCGCTCCCACGACTTCACAGCCGCCCTCTGCCACTTCGCCGTCACCGTCGGCGACCCCCGCTCCTGGCCATCCGTCCTCTGCCTCTCCGCCGTCACCGTCGGCGACCCCCGATCCAGACCAGCCGCCGCCGCCGCCGGACCCCGCGATGCCCCCGCTTACGGCTCACGCCATGCGGTAGCCTCGCCCGGGTACAAAGGCCGAGGGAATGACAGACCCGCGGCTGCCAAGCCGCACGAGATCGGGCACAAGGCACAGCACAGGACATATCTCGATGCTAGACAAGAACACTCTAGTGTCGATGCTGGAGGCTCGGAGCGCGGTGGATGAGGAGCGCAGGGAGCCGGGGGGAGCGGGAGCCGGAGAGCAGGCGGGAGCACTCGCAGCGGCGAACCCGGGGGCTGGTGGAGCGGGAATTCCACTCGCATTTCCCACGCTCCTCGCCAACCGGGAAGACATCGACGCCACGCTGCGAGACCAGCGCCCGCCGAAGCAACTCCGTGACCTTCCGCACTGCCAGGCCAGCGACCTTCGTGGTCCAACGAGCTACAAAGAGGCCATGGCGTCGGAGCACCGGCCCCTGTGGAGCGGCTCTATGCAAAGGGAGTTTTATGGCTTGTTGGAAGCGGGGACTTTTACTCCGGCGAAGTAGCAATTAGTGGAGAACGCAATTAACGCTAAGTGGGTATTCGATTGGAAGGCAGATGAGTTTGGATGGCCCACCAAGGTTAAGTCGAGACTTGTAGCGAGAGGTGACATGCAGAGAGAGTACATTGACTTTGAAGAGTTGTATGCACCTACCGTTTTTGTTTCATGTGTTAGGATGTTGGCTGCTTTGACGTTCGAGTTGAGCCTCGACTTGTGTCACTTCGATATTGAGCAAGCTTTTGTTCGGTCGGAGTTGGAGGAAGACGTGTACATGCGTTTGCCGCAGGGATGTGGAGCTCTATCTGGAATGATTGAAAAACTAGGCAAGAGTCTGTATGGCTTGAGACAGGCATCTAGGCAGTGGCATGCAATGCTGAAGAGGTTTTTGGTGGCGTTAGGTTTTGAGCAGTGCATGGCCGATGCTTGCGTGTTTCGTTTGATTGAGGATGGATGTGTTGTGTTGATTTTGGTAGTACATGTAGATGACATTTTTGCTGTGGGAGAGAGGGAGAGATGTGACAAGTTTGGCGCCGACCTTAACAAGTCCGTGCCAGTGAAGAACCTGGGAGAGTTGAGATGGTATTCTGGGTGCTTTTACGAGAGAAACAAGGAGACCGGTAGGTTGACGATTTCTCAGCAGACTTGCACGGATGAGCTAGCAGCAGAATATGGAAGTGGGAGGTAAGAGCGTTCCGATGTCTTCGGGGGTGAAGCTTTCTGATTTTGATGCGGATGAGGTGGCGACAGACATTCCGTTTCGTGAACTAGTCGGATCTTTGATGTGGCTGGCGGCTCAGACTAGGCCAGACATTGCGAATGCAGTAAAGGCAGTAGCTAGGTATTGCGCATCCCCGAAGCTGGTACACTGGAATGTAGGGATGGATATTTTAGGGGACGCGAGGAGGACGAGTTACTTGGTATTTCGTTTCAGAGAGGTACGGTGGAGGGATTCAGCTTGCAGGGGTACGTTGATGCGGACTTTGCAGGCAAGACAGCAGACCGTAGGTCGGTATCAGGGGGGATTGTGACGTGTGGAGGAGGCGCTGTGTCTTAATTTTCCAGAACGCAGAAGTGTGTCACGCTTTCGAC